CTACACCAGCAATGAAGTGCCAGAGGGTGCAAGCGCACAGCTCTTCCCGCTGGCAGCCCTGTGCAGACCTCCATGATCTCTCTCCACTACCTCAGGCTGCTGATGCTGAAAGGCAGCGTATGTGCAGGGTGCAGCTGAGGGTCCCGGGGGGTCGCTGGGGAGAGCCAGTGGCCAAACCCACCTGCTAGCTGGCTGGGGGAGTTGCTCACCTGGGCTGCCAAGGAAGACCCACAGGAATGTTTGCCTCAGTTGCTCCCATCTGTGGCATTTAGCACTGGGGACTGGAGTTGGTCAGAAGTTTCACAGAAAATGCACAGGGACTGAGGTAATTTCCCCCCCCACCCACCTTTTTTTCTTTCTTTCAGACAAAAGAATAAATTAGTAGAGCCTTGGGTAAACTGCAGCCAAGAAGACTGGGAGGGATTGCTACTTAGGCTCCTTGCAGAGGGCTGTGCAGGGGGTAGACATGCTGCAGGTTCCCCCCTCCATGGATGTCACTGGAGGGCTCCCACCACACCAGAAGGCTGTGGCTGGGGGGGGCTCCGTGAGAGGTTCCTCTGCAGCTGCTGTTTGAATAAGGACATTTTTTTCCCTCCCAGCTGACAAAGGCATCAGTCTCACTCAGCAGCTGCAGGGTCAAGGTAGCTTCTGGTCGGGGGAAATTTCAAGCAAACAACTTCTTCCATGAAGCAGAAACTTTTTTTTTTCCCTTTTTTTTTTTCCCCCAGCTAGCTCTAGTGAGAAAGTTCTCTCTGCATCTGTAGTGCTGGAGAAGTCTCTGCCCACTCCTGACTGAAATGCCATATATCAGCAGGGATGAGGCCTTTGGTGTCAGAAAGGTGATGGGTGCCATTGCCTTATTCACACCTCTTCCTTGGGACCTGTGTTCTGCATAATATACTGAAAAACAACAAATCAGATGCTGCATGGGACCAAAAAAAAATACTGCCACCAAGACACAAAAAGGAGCTCTCTGACCCCATGGAGTTGGTCGTTGCACAGTAACTGAATATGCTTGTGCTGCACACTGAGCAAGTGAAGAAACGGGCACTGCCAAGTACTCTGCCAGGCAACATGGCCATTGAGAGGTGAACCCTGATGTTTGCAGCCCACTGCCTCAGGAGGTAGTGAGAGGTTCCCTCAGGCTGCTCTGCAGCCCATGCTAAGCTGCCTGCTCATGGATGCTTCGGCCTCTGCCCTGTGGTTGTGCTGCGGGTGCAGCGGGTGCCGGGGGTCTCGTCTGGATGCAGGGGAGATGGGAGGGAAAGGGAACGGGAAATGGCAGGGCCTGGGAGGGCAGGCTGAGGGGCTTGGAGCTGGGGCATGGGGAGGTGGAGACCCTGTGGTAGCAGGAGGATGTAGCCCTGGGCCCAAAGCTCAGCAAGGGGCTCTATGGCCCCTGAGTTTGGGGGCCTGGGGGATGCTGCAGGTGCCCACAACACCAGACATCCCTCCCTGACCTTGACCGTCCAACAGGTGCCACCATGACCTCCCACCTTCCCCATGCCTCATCCCAGGCAGGTCAGTGGACTTCTGGGCTCAAGGACACCCAAATTGCGAGCCATTGGAGAAAGCGGAGGGGCTGTGAGAAGCGGGGTAGAGTAGGGGAAGCAATGAGGGTTGGGAGGCCAGGGAGAGGGTTCTGAGACACCAGTTCCCACTGTGATACGAAGAAAGGGACACTCACATTCAACCTTTTTCTCCAGCATTGCCAAGTGATTAGCTACTTCCGTTTTCAGCTCACTGATTTTAAAAACCCTGAAAAGAAAACCCTCATGTATTAATATTATACATTTAGTGCTGTGCCTACCCTAGGTACAAAGGACTTTTGCTACAAAAGTCTATATTTTTCAGAGGATTGATCTGTTCTACTGTGTTTGCCATAAGGAAAAGAACAATTTCCATGGAAATGCTATAATTTTGGCAGAAAATACACACGAGTTTAACGTTCAGAATAATTAACAACAAATGATTTTGTTATGACCCTGGGAATGTATTGTGGCTCTGCAACACTTCATCACCCCCTCTCTTGGCAGTGACTTGTTATTGTACCCCCCAGGGAAGCAGACTTAAATTGATAATGCTTCACCTAACAGCCTCATCTCGGCATCTGCACACTCTGAAGCCCTCCTCCTTTTGAGTTATGCTGGTGATTTGTTGAGCTGTGATGGGATTAATCTGTCTTACTGAAACCAGCCAGAACAAGCTAAGCAGCTGTACAGGTGTTGAGAAACCCTCTCGGAAGTGAGACATGCTTGGGTGACAAAGGGAAAAATGAAACAAATCCAATTATTTGGCTGTTCAATGAAGAAGCATTTATTTTGCTTCCTAAGAGGGCAGGAGCACAATAAGAACATTTATATTTGCTGCCTGATCTGCTTTTTAAAGCAAAGATAATCAACAAAATCGCTTTTGGTTTAAGCCACTGTATTGTTGTCAACAGGACGTGGGTAACAACATGTGTTGTTAACACATTGTTAATGTAGCATTTGTACCAGGCTTCAATTTGGCAGGAAGAGTGGGATTTGAAAGAGATCTTAAACGCCCCTCTGCCTCCTGTGAAAATTTTGCTTCATGCTGATATAAGAAATAGCATTTTAAATTAATAATGATGTTCAGCTTCTTACCTTGAAAACTGCTCAGCAATCTGCCCCAGTAAATTCTGGAACAATTCTTCTTTCTCTGAAAGAAATAGAAGGGAGATTTAACAGAAAATGACAGAGGAAAGAAGATACCCTCTAACCCCCTGCAAAGTGACATGCCCAGAATATCAGCTCTGATGGTGAGGCATTTAGCCAAGAAGTCGTTCATGACAGCATTTAGGGATGACTCCTCATCTCACATGCCTTCCTCTGCCTGCAGATTGCAGTTAAGGTTTTTCAGAGGGGTTTTTTTCGGGGGGGTGCTGGGTCTCTGAGAAGTGACTTGTTTTAAGGTAGTACCCTCTGGAAAGAAGATCTCTTTCCTATTTCTTGGGTGGAGCACCCAGATTTGCCATCTGCTTTTGAAAGATCTGGTTCACAAGGACCACCTCTACATCATCAGCACACTGCCAGAGTGCCCATGAAGAGTGCAACAGCTTATGAGCACAAGAAAACATAGTTTGCCTTTCAGCCTTACATTGGAACATTATCCTGGGGACCATTTTTTTGGTGCAAATTCATATGAATCGCACTGCTCTGCATAAACTTCAGGCAAACGTCAGATGCCAAAGGGACTGTCCTTGCAGAATGAGGTCTGCCCTTCCTGGTTCATGGGATGAACACAGCAGGGCACAAGTTTACCAACCCCTTCTTCCTTGAGACCAAAACTTGGACAGAGTGGCTGCAGGGATCCCGTGGGGATCCCATTGCTGCCTGACCTGGTGCGGCAGTGGTTTCCCTGGGAGCACTCGTGCCAGTAGCTCCCTGTCTCCCACCACCAGCTCCAGTGCTTGGGCATTTCAGCTGGCGTGTTAAAGCCAGCCCGGTGAAGCCCCAGCCCCTTTCTGAGACCATCACAGGGTTGTAATCACTAACACAGTGAAAAGCAAACCAGTCCTTAAAACAAGACCACAGATTTCAAGGGACAGTACACTTTAGGAACAAAGTAGAAGAATGATAACAATGTTTTCCCATCTTTCAGTCTGTCCACACTGCGTTCACACAGAGAGGGGAAGCATAAATCCCCTTTGCTGAGCTCTGTGTTGCTGTTTCGAGGTCTCTCCCACTTTCCCTCACCAGCTAATTTAAGCTACATCATGCTGCATTTGTTCTGATGCTTGCAATGTGGATGTATTCTCATTTTCTCATGCCCAAGGAGCAGAAACATTGCATGCTCTCATATACACACTGCAGCTTACAGAACACCCATTTATACCCTATGTAGAAATACATGGCATTTCTGAAGTTACTTCTTGCTTTTGCCTGAGGGAACACGATGCCTCCTGAGTGCAACCCTCCAAGTGAAACACATCAGACAGAAATACAGCCCAGCATTTACAGCATATTTCTAAATAATAGCTCTTTTACCTGTTGAAAGGATTTGCAATTCCTCAGGTATTAGAGATGTCAGAAGCACTTGTCAAGAGCATTCACTTTTCTGGTCAAAACAATTTGTCTGTTACCCCAGTGTCTCTAAACGGGAGCAAGCACTCTGTGCTCTGAAAGTTCCAGATCTAATTCCTTCTTTTTCATTTTTCTTCTTCTTCTTTCTTTCCCCCTCCTCCCTTGCAATCTAACTCCCAGCGGTGTGGCCAGCAGAGCAAATGACGAGATTAGTTCTTTCCACAAAGACTCATTTTTCAGTATTCTTACTAAACCCACTTGAAAACCCAAGTGCTGGAACAAAGCAAATGCTGAGCCCTGTGTGAGACAGGAGGGGAGCTTACCGTATGCAGCACCTGGGCTGGCACCCGAGTCCAACAGTGAGAACAAGTAGAGAAACCCGTGTCCGCTCACTTCGGTGCAGCTCAGCTCTCTGACAGTGGCCGTAGCATGCCAGAGACTGACAAGTTCCCTACAAACACTGTTCCAGTAAAAAAAATAATAAATATCTTACTTTCACTCCCTCCCCCTGTCAAAACTCACTTGCAGTATTAGAACATTCTCATCCAGGGAACAGTCAGCTGCAATCTGATGTTTATGGATGTAATAAAAGACTTTCAAAACGAAGATGTATGTTTTTATAACCCTAGGGTGCAGTAAAGATATATGACTAAGAGTGGCAGTTCGTCTCATCTTAAAGAGACAAAGATCCATTTATTTGCCCTGTTCCTTTCTGAGGGAAAGACCTCTGGTAACCCCTGATTCTGAAGAAATGGAGACATCGTGCCAACATAATGTAGTCTCGCTTGCCCACTCCTTTGAAAAACAGGCAGGTTAGGTGTCCTTTTACTCCACTTATTACCCTCTGTCTTCTCTATTTTATAGCTCTGGGCAGGGCTGACACCCCACGTGCGTGCAGCTACATTTTCCTTCAGTTGCTTCATTCGTTTTGTGGCAATGGCCCCTGTGAAAAGGAAAACCTACTGCCCGGGCAGGCGCAATCTGTGCACCTTGCCGAGGGTCACCGGCTCCTGCCGGGTAACCCCAAACCCAACAGCAACTCCCTTCTCAGCTGCCCCCGCCCTGCTGGCACCCTGAACGTGCAAGGTGTGCAAATGCAGGCATCTGGCAAGTCAGATTTTTGCACAACACGCAGGGCATTTTAGGTGAAAATTAGAAACACAGCCCCTCTGCCTCCCTCCAGAAGACGCTGCAATAGTATAATGGCCAGGTAGGGGACAGGCCTCCTGGAGCTTCCCATGGCTCATTCCCATGCTCACAGCAGGCAGGGGGATTTCAGCTCCTCGCCTGCTGGCCCCTGCTGGGATCAGCAGGGAGCTTGGCAAGAGCATCACCGAGCAAGGATCCATTTTGCCCTCCCTTCCAGCAGCCTGCAGGTCTGGGCAGAGAGCAGGTGTGGGGGAATGTGGCTGCAGCCCTTCTTCCTGCGGCTCCTGTGGAGGTCAGGTCGGAGGGCTGGCAGTGAGTACGGACCTTCCCTGCCAAACAGGGACTGGGTACAGGCTGGAGCAGCTCAGGTTACATGTGCATGGACACAGATGGCTTATAACCCACTGGCATTGCACCCTGTGCTTCACAGTGCCTTGCTTGGCATTGACTGTTCCTCTCCTGGGTTGCATGCTGGGGTCATGGTTGGGGAGCCAGCTCCATCTTCCTGCCCTCCCCAGCTCCCCCCACCATCCTGCCAGCCTCAGTGAGGTGCAAGGAGGGTTGTGGGGGTTGGTTGACTGTTTTTTTCCCAGTCTTTTCTGCTGTGGCCAAGCAAGGCTGGGAGAACGTGGGTGTCTGCCTTTTCCTGGCAGCATCAAGCTGGCGAATTCCTGCCACATGGTCTGTTTCTCACGTGTGCCTGAGACTCTGGCTCGGGCTCCTGTCTGTATTTCCCTTTCTACAGTTTGTTTGGATCTGGGCAGTCAGAGGAATTTAAAAAACAAACATCCAGGTGGACAAGAGCCTCAGGAAGGGTTGTGCTTCAACTCCAAGCCTACGTCTGTGAATCATGTCATAGCGAGCGCCAAATTCTCTTAAAAGCTCAGGTTAATTTAGGCTACTGCATGCAAGTCCCTGATGATTGTGATGAGTGATTTTGAAGCAGTTGGCCCCATCCCGATGCACACATCCATATGAGATGCTTGTAAGGAGCAGCAGGCAGGAGGGTTTTGGTTTTTTCTCAGTCTCTGCCTTTTCCCTCTTACCTGAGCTGTGAGCATGAATATGCCTCCAAAAGAAGAAGAGAGAGATCCCAGAATAAGAAGATCTAGACATTGTGACAAGCTTCTGTCGCTTTACCAATAGCAATCTGCACAAGAGCTTGTGTATTTAATAATTTAGAGGAAAACAAGCAGTTCCCAGAGACCTCTGTACAGCTGTACATCTCTTAAGTGGGCAGTGTTGGGCAAGGCAGGGCTAACACCGTTTCAGATGTGGGCCTTCTAGCAGGGAGCTGCACAGGTCTTGGCTGAGCTAGCTCTCCCACTGCAAGCTCTTATCCTGGATAGAGACTGTGGGTTTTCCTCTGTGCAAGTGCTAGATAGCTTGTTAGTTGAAAAAGCAAATAACAAGATGGAAAGTTAGTTGGGAGGTGAAGACGCTGCCCACAGTCTCAGCCTGGCCAAGCAGTTCTAGCTCTGTTGGAGTTCCCCAGCACTGAGGCTTCTGAGCAAGGAGTGGCAGGTGGAAAGCTCTCCCTGCATGCTGGCCTCCATCCCAGTCAGGCCCTACTCTCTTTGGGTTTCTTCACCCATTTCCACAGGGATGCTTGCATTGAACCACCAGGACAAGCTAGAGACAGAGGTGCAGAGAGAGTTGGTGCTGAGCTCGGCACATGCCATGCTCTTTCATGTCACATCCCTGCTGAGATCTTTAAGGACTCATCGAGTCACTTGAGTGCTTTGCTGCTCGAACCCTGGAGTGGTAGAAAAGCCTCTGTGCAAGTTTTCCCCAAAATTTAGGACCACAATGGATTGGGCTAACTTGAGCTCCACAGTAGCTCCTTTCTCTGTACTATCAGAAACTTAACAGACTTCAAATTTATTTCTCAATAGTGTGCTGCTAGTTGGATTTGTTCGTTTAATTGGCTTCTCCAGCAATATTGCAGAGTGCCTGGACCTCACTAACTGCAGCTACAATGCAGCCGTGTGAGTTTTGAGCCTGTTCCACTGTGAAGCCACAGACCAGAGCCTTTCCAGGAGAGAAAGGTGGGCTTGGCAGTTTAAGCACCCCAGAGAGAAGGAAGGGTTTGGCACTGGGGGTTTGATGCTGTGCTTAGATAGCCATGTGTCGTCTAGTCGGGGGCTGTGGGATGAGGGGCAGCACGTGATGCAAGGGCCCTGCAGGCTCAGAGCTGGCCAGCTGGGCCCCTGCCTTGGCCTTGCAGACAGCTGACCCCGTGGTGACGCGGCGATCGCTGCTGCAGCCAATGGACACTCACTGGAACAATAATTTTCTTAATTCCAACCCTCTCCCATGACTACGGCCAGGAAATGAAGAATGGTTTCTTAGCAGGACTCCAGTGGATATCTCCTCTACTGGATAAAAGCCACTGCTTATATTTTCCTCCCAAAGGATCTTATTTTCCAGTCTCACCTTTTACAGTCTTTGTTCCACTGAAGAGTGCTTCACTCTTTTCCAGCTGCCTGGGATACTGTTGAAAGAGGTGCATTACTTCCTACTGCTGTGAAAACTCGGGTGACCCCTTTTTTGGCATGTGTTTGGATGAGTTGCTTTGGGAAGCAGAGTCACGAAGGCACAGTTGTTTAAGAAGTGAAGACTGGAACAGAGCTGTTTTTTTCTTTTAATGAAGAGGAACAATTTCTCACTCTGTTTATTCTTCCTACTCTCAGCAAAATGTCAGGAATGCTTAAGATTAATGGCAATCCATGCGAAAGAGAAACAGATACCAAGGAACATTAGTTTCATCACACTCAGTTCAACTTTCCTCCTCTTTCCATAGCAGACTGTGTCCTATGTTTTGGCAACGTACCGCCAGAAGTTTTCTTGTTCTTTTCAGAGCAGATCTTTGGAAATCCTTGTTTTATAAAATGCAGGGAGAGAAGAGAGTCCTTGCTGACACAGTGAGCCGTGCTCTGCATAAAGCACAGCCGCGTGCTGTCAGCTGGGGTGAAAAATGAAGGCCCTGGGAGAGTGCAAAAAGTCACACATGGTCTTATAAAAATATACGGTTAGCTTCATGTTGGGGGGGGGGGGGGGGGAAGAAAAAAAAGGCAGATGTTCTAGAAATCCCTTTGACCAGTTTCCCAGATGGTATAACACAGTGGCATTCCCCAGCAGAGGTTGGCCAGCTCTGTTGGATGGTCTTTCTTCCTCCTGGGGCAAATGGCTATTTGTTACCCATGCCAGCTGGTGCACACGCTCTCTGGTTAATGCCTCACCTTTTCTCATCTGATAATGCAAATAGTGTACTCCTGGACCAGAAGAGTGGTGCTGTTCCAGCAGAGTTTGTTACAATAAGGAAATGGTTTAGGAGAGAGCTTCTTTTCCCTTAGCAGTCGCCTTGTCCCTCAGCTTTGACTACCTCCTTCTGGCAACAGTGGCAATCACTGACAGGGCACCTGTTTATAGCTTGTAACAAATCTTGCTGTGATAAAGTTCTTCCCAGTTTCTTGGCTTGTTTGTTCTTTCTGCTCTCTGTTCCCCTTTGCTCTCTGCATGGACAAGCTCCTCACTGTTGTATCATTGTCCCCGTCTCACTCACTCCCATCCTCCTAGACTGACTTGCTGTGCCCTTTTCCTACAGATGGTTCTGCTGCAGCAGACATGAGTACCTCAGAGAGTAGCTTTGGTTCCCTCCACCTGCCCATCTGAAAAAAAAGGCAATGCTGTGAGACAATGTCTTCTTGTTTAACAGGGGAGCCTAACCAAGAAGAGGTGGCCCCTGCAATTAACATTATCCAGAAGATGAGATGGGACCAGAAAAACTGTCTTGCCCTCTAACTCAAGAGCCTCACTCACTCCTGACAACTACTTTTTCCAGCTCCACCTGGCTCATTTCTGTTCCTTCTGTGCAGTCAACATTTCCAAGAAAATCTTAACCTCTAGCCCCTTGTCTCTCCTATCTTCTCATTTAACTGCTCCAAACTATGTCCCCAGCTGGCATCTCCTACTCCCCTGCAGCCCTTGCTTCAGTGGCCAACCTAAAGCTCCAGAGTGTACAGGAGATACAGGCAGCCTCAGTACTGGTGGCAGGAGATGCTGCAGTTGCACAGATAAAAGCGACCCTGGGCCAGACACGCTGCAGGAAATGCCTCAAGAAGATGCTCTGCTCCAGTGTCTTGGGAGCTACTGGCCTGAGCGTAACAGTGGTCGGCAAAGAGAACTGGTAGAAGTGCCCCTTCAGTCTTGCATGTGGAGCACAGCAGCACAGCGTGCTGAGGAATGTGCTCCAGATGTGTCCGTTCATCCTTCTTTAATCTTGGCAGGTGTATTTAAATATTTATTACACTTAGAGCTACCATGCCCACAACAGAAATTATGCTCTCTCTGCAGCCATTTGGAAATAACACGGGGTACAAGTGTTGTGCTCAGCTTTCCAGCAGAGCTTTGCTATGAAATGCACAAGTTTATCAAAACACTGCAGGACAGGCTTTCAAACATCATCTGTGTTGCCTGAAAAAAATCACTGCTCCATGCGAGACTTTCCCCAGGACATCAGTGGTGCTGAGTCAGAACAGAGCTAAGGACTGTGCAAGTCCCCTGGACCGCAGCCATTTCACCTCACCCTCAAATACTTCAAAATCTGGGGACATTTTTTTTTTTTGCTTTCTCCCAGAATACTGTGATCAAACACTTCTTACTCTGCCATAGCTACAACCACGACGCTGTCATCCTTCTTTCTTGCATCATAGCCACATAATTTCCATGTGCAAATGTTCGCAAATTGAGCTTCAGTAAATTCAGTTCAGAAAGGTCATTTTACCTGAGAGCTGCCCTGTTGCAACAGGTATCACTTTGTATGGAGACCTGGAAGGAGTCAGGGAGGGTTGATGTTAACAACACTCAGCGGTTTTTATTTCATATTTGACAGCAAACAAGGTGGGATGGGAGCAGATGTTCTACATTAAACACTTAAAAGCGGTATTTTTTCTTCAGACAATTACGCCTACGTTAATAACAAGTCAAAAATCTTCAAAGCCAGCAGGCATTATTAGTGTTATAAGCCAGCATGCAATTCTTGCTGTCATCCCCCTCCCTTCGGGGAGTTGCTCTCATCCCACTGCACACAAAAGGCATCTGCAGGCGAACACCACCCCCTTCCCTTGTGCTTGACACTGTTTTTTAAGATCAGGTTGCATCAAGGCTTACCTCTCTGAGTTTGCAGGCATTGTCGGATCAATGGATACCATGCAATTGTCTGCCGTCAGAAGGGAGATGGTTGTGTTCCTGAAAATCATGTTCCAAAGGGGTTTACTTGACCTAGAAATGCTGGCTGAAATTCAGTGCTGCTGTACATGGTGCCTAGCCATCTTCCCTCCTGCAGCTCTCTGGGGCTGGCCTGGCACTGGCTCAGACCCCTTTTACCCTGGTGCAGAAAGGGTCAAAGCACAGGATGGGGCAGAACTGATGCTTCACCCATTTCAATTACCAGAGATGTTTCTGGGAAAACATTGTGTGTGATGATCATCTTTGATCGTGGAGCAGACTTTGCTCCCTGCTAACTCATGTATTCTGCTGGCTCATCAACTAATAATTTCTATTCGGAAGTTACGTTTTGTGATACATGGACTCAGCATCCACATGTTGACTCAGGCTACACAAATGACTACCAGTGCCATGAATGTTTCAAAACAGTCTAGCTACTCCTTTACCAAAACAAGCAAAACAAATGTCTTGCTGACTATGGGGTGGTTTTTTGGGTGGTGTTTTGAGATAGTTATTTTGTTTGGGTTTTTTTGTTTGGTTGCTTTGTTTGGAGTTTTGTTTGTGGGGTTTTTTTTTGTTCTTTTGGGTTTTTGGATTTTTTTTGGGGGGGAGGGGGGGGATTTGTGTGTATTTTTTTAAATCCTGTGCTAAGTGTAATGTCATAGGCTCTGATGTAAACCTTGGAATTTTGCTTCAGCTCCAGGAGCCTGGTTGAAATGCACACTCCTTTGAAATTCTTCTGTTAAAAATATAATGCCAAATAGGCAGTGAACACCCTGATCATGAACCACTAAAACTGTTAACCAAAGTCTTCTGGATGATGGAGTGGAATTATTTGATATGATAGGAAAATTAGAGTTATTAACCTCTCTAATGTGTAATAGAAGGAAAAAGGCAGGATGCATGGCAAAGAGCATTCATTCTGTCCAGTGGCTTATGGGAATTCTGAGTCAATATAGACAATTTTATCTTTCAGTCCCCAGAGCTGGAGTCATGCAATAAATCCATGATTAAAGGATTGGCTTTTTTCCCCCCCTGTGCTATTTCTGCATTGTAGACCTGTGGGTACAAAGGTAAAGACTATGGCTTAATGCAAAGCCTGTATGCAGACAGCAGATGCCCCCTTCTAGATGTGACTAAGAGGCTTCCCTATCCCTGCACCACCCCCCTGGACAGATGGTGCAGAAGCATCTGGGTGCTACACAATGCAACCCTCCACCACACACAGGTCTCTCCCACCTCGATGCACACCTACACCTGATTCTGGCTCCCTGCTGACAGAGAGCTTTAAGTTGGATGCTGTTCTGAGTAAGAGAAACAAACCCTACAGAAAATGACAGCAGGAGATATGCATGGACTTCACAAAACAACATAAATTAGGAAATAATTGGCCTGAGCAATGGATTGGGGGATATTTATGTTGAATAAAATGGTTCAGCTGGGATACTTTGTGCTTGACTGACTCATACTTGGGATTAGTTCGTACTGTATCTAAACAGAAAGCTTATCAGCTACTAGCAATGCTTCTCATTGGCCCCAAATTTTTCCCTGAAAAACAGGTTTTAAATGTATGGTTGCGTTTCACTTCATAGGGGAAAAAATGTAATGCTGAGGCATAACTGGTAGCTGCACATAACCTGTGTGCACTCAGGGTTGGGCTTTTGCACTTTTACTTTTTTAGACTGTATGTTCTGTTCTACTCTATTTCACTCTGTTCTTCAGGTGCAGCTGTCACGGAAATCGCTCAACACCTGCTAGAGCTTGGTGCACTTTTCCAGCTGGTGCTATCTGGGTTGCCCCAGTTTCTTCTTCCAGTAGACTGGAATGAAACAGAAGCCTGAATAGCAGGTAAATTAATAACCTGGGGGCTGTCTTTAAATTACCCCCAGAGGTAAAGGAACAAAAATGGAATTAATGTTGCAAATGAAAAGAGAGACCTACCTCGGTAGCCCTGTTGCAATGCAGAAGAGGTCCATGATATCTTTGGAGTTGCAATATTTACTAAAGATCACCTTCCAAACCAAACAGCAGCAGGGGAAAAAAGGAAGGAAGACAAAGAAGAGAAAGGAAAGTTAGTTCCTAGTGAGATGTGAACTCTATTCAGGCATGAACTGGCCTAATTTTAAGGCTCATCCTACTGCTTCAATTATCTGATTTGACTTGTGAGCTGGAATATTTCTCTACCCCTGCTTAGATGTGTGCTTTTTTTTTATAAAGCCAGTAAGCTCTGGAGACCTAATTGTGCTGTTCAGAAGCAGAGTAATAATGTATGTGAACAGAGAGCAAAAGGTATCTCATAATGCAGTATTGCTGCAGGATGATAACAAGTGCAAATTTCAGGATGTAGGAGCCCAGATCTAGGAAGAAAACAGTCTAGATTTGAGGAAGTCCTTGGATGGTGTAAAAGAGCTCTGCTTTTTGAACTACACCAGCTTAAGCTAGCTTTATACGAAACAGGATTTTTTCCTCCCCCAGGTTGTGCCAAGTTTCCTACAGTCTATCAGGCCGTACCATTCCTGTTGCTAGGTCAGAGTTCTGACCTAGACAAAATTTGCCGCTGTTACCTTCTCACACCCTTCAAATGCCCTTCATCCTCCTGCCTTTCCACACATGCCAGGCAGCCTCCCTGTGGAGAAGACTGTTGGAGCAGTGGGTCTGGGAGCACCACATGCCCTTGACCCCTGTTATGATGTAGACTTCAGTAACATGATCCCACACCACGATTTTCCCCAAAGCTCTCACATCCATCAGGGCACATGGATGATGGTGATCCCTGGTTGAGAAGCTCTTCTGCAGCCAGGGTGTGGGGCAGGAAGCCTCTCTGAGTGCCTTTGATTGACTGTGGCAGAGGCTTTGGAACTGCTGTGGAAATAAAACCTCTGAAGAACAAAAACATAGTCACAGAGCCTCTGGGTTTGGGATGCAACGGGACGTCTGGGGACTTAGTGGCAAAGCTCAGGAGGAGCACAAAAGTGATGTTTTGCTGATGAGGTGTGAGGCAGAGTGAGATCAAGGGAAAAGTCTCTTCTCCTTGTGTGTGCCTCAGTAGGAATGCCATTTTCCACCCCCAAAACCACCTGCATCATCCCATATTCTCAGGCAAAGTTTCTATTGCTGTTCATCATGGCCACAGGGGATGTTGCATGCCTGCAGTTCAGCCTTGAGGCTGGTGACCCAGAAAATGAGGAGCATATCACACGGGACGGCCTTCCAATAGTTTGTTCCTGCATATTTCTGCAACCTTGCCTTGTGCTGCCAGGAGGAGGCAGGGGCTGTGGGCAGTAGAGGCTGCAGGCAGTGGGGGCTGCTGCTGCCCTGCATTGATCTGGCCACTCGAGTAGGCCCCATGTGTTCTGCAAGGTGAGGAACACGCTGCAAAAACAGTGTTTCATCAACTAATTAAAGACTCTTCTGAAATGTGTAGGTTCCAGGAGTTAATTAAGCCTGCAGCCTCACTCCAAAAGTCTTGGCCTTCAAGTGCTTTAATTCCTAAAGTATAATAGTGTTGCAGTAACATGGTTCCCATATTACTTAGAAAAGGCTTTCTAAGGTGCCTTTCAGAGACACCAGGGGAAATCTCTCACTTGGAGGTATCATGTGGTGTCAACTCAGACCTCTGCCTCAAGCACTGGCGAGGCCATGGGAGAGGCAATGGGCTGCTCTGCCAGCGAGGAGCTGCTAATCATGGAATCACAGAATGGTTTGGGTTGGAAGGGGCCATGAAGATCATCTACTTCCACCCCCCCTGCAGGGGCAGGGACACCTCCCACTAGACCAGGTTGCTCAAAACCCCATCCAGCCTGACCTTGAACACTTCCAGGGAGGGAACATTGCAATTCTGGAGTGTTGGAGGAGTCAGGACAAAACAGCTAAAGGTAGCTAGCCTGGCTGAGTCCTGTTGTGCCTGGGCTGAAACATGCCAACAACACTCCAGCTGATGCTGAAGCAAGGTTTCAGACCTCACTTTTCACTGGTGGTGAGGAGCCCTCTTACTCTTGAGTGAAGTGCCAGGGTTTTTGCAGTACACAGCGATACTGGTCACCTCAAGAGGTGGCTGTGACCCATACATGCGTGCACACCCATATTCCCCATTTTCCAAGCCAGATGAGATTACACCAGGCTATATCTTTACTTTATAAAACACCAAGACTCTTGATTGCTCAGGTAGTCAGCAGCTGCTACCGGAAGAAGGGGTGGGATTCATGCCCGGTGTGTTCGGAAAGCCTCCTTTGCCCAGTGATTGACCCTTGGTTATTAAATACCACAGCAATCTAAGTAATAAAACGTAGCCAGTTGAGTTCAGATAGGGCTGAAACCCTGCTCCTACCACAGCACCGGGCTATGCTACCAGAGTGATAGCTGCTAAAATTAGATGAAAGAGTATTGGAGGGTACAACAAGTGGTACATGCAGTAACTGAGGAGATGATACTAATTGCGGTTGAACAGAGGGTAAAGGCCTGTGATGTGCCAGGAATGTTATTTCAGGTATTGAGGTTTCTTATTATGGAAATCAATTATTATTGACCAGGACAGATAAGAAAGGAAAAGATTAAAAAAAATTTAAAAAATAAAAACCATTCAGGGTAAGAAAGCTGGCCTGACTCATAGAAAGCAGCAGGAGCTTTCAATGCATTAAGGATGAATTTTAATGCTTCCTTTTACTCAACATAATAGTAAAAGAGTGGGAAGCAAATCAAAGCCTGTAGATACTAGATCACGAGCAATCCCTACACATATATTTTAGCTTTCCATACTTGGCATTTTTAGCAAACTTAAGTTTGCTGAAAGTGGATTTGTGAATCACTCACCGTACTTTGGTACTCATCTCAGGATTGTTGTCCTCAGTTGTTTGGGTTTTTTTAGTCAAAGAACATACACTACTGAAGTTTTGTTCTACTGCAACACCTGCTGAGCTTTTCTGACCAACTTCCTTCTGTCCTAAAACAAAGCAGCCAGCCTCAGACATTTCCCAGCAATATGCAATTGTTCCTGTTATTGTCTGCAGGTTTATGTTCCCAATAAAGTCAATGTCAGTTGGGCTGATGGAGTATGTTTGGAATGTATTTTGGAGAGATGGGAGGACAGTACTGCATGCTATTGATGGCTCCAGCACAGCATAGGAATCCTATTTGCCTAAAGTCCATTATCATTGTAGGGACATTTGCAACATGAAGGCAATATAGTGACACTGGGATTGCAACCATACGTGAGCCAGCTGGGACACATGGTCTTTCCTGTGACCATGGAAGATGGTTGACCTGCAGCTTTGAGCTTAGGCAGTCCTGTTGACACTAGTTGCAGAAGTGACCACCATTCCTGTGAAGGTGTCCATACTTGGGCAGTTGTCTTGAAACCACTGCAGTTCAGCCTGGGTGTTGATGATGATAATTTTCTGGCACTGCTTGTGGGTCTGATCCAGACCCACAGCCAGCACTGAGGGACTTCATCTCCCTTCACACCTGTCTCAGCTGTCTCTGATCCGCAGTTGCCACCTTGCTTAAGTCCCTGTTCCTGTGCCTGGGTGGGAAGCCACTGCTGTGGTGTGTCTCACAGCACCTCACTCCTTGCATTACCGTCTGGTTCTGGGAGAAATCACTGCTTAGGGCAGGACTGTGACCTTGCTGTGGAGCATATCACAGGCCAAAAGCAGGAGAACACAGCAGTCTGTACAGTTATGGTAGTGGGCTCAGATCACACATGTATAGGTTTCCCTATCATACATGTAAAAAAAAGGGCATAGTCACATAGGTCAGCAGAGCCCTATTGGAACCAGGGATTCAGCTCCTGACATACCTCCTACGAGAAAGAGTAGACACAGAGTCTCCAACATTGCTCTGGTGGTATGAGATTCTCCTGCAAGTGTGGTCAACACAAGACACTCAGCTGCCAGTGTTATTTCTGAAAGCAAAGGCAGAGCCAAAATCGTGCAATCAGAGTCACAGAGGTGATACACCACATGGAAAAAGGAAACAGAGGCCTCTGCGTCGGCTTGCAGATTGATGAATAAATGCCATGAAGAAAATCAGCCACATATAAACCCTGTTAATTGCATTTCCCTTGGATTTGTGCCAGGATGAAAATAAAGTATTCCTCAAAAGTGATGCAGCATCTGAAAACAATTAATTCCCCCCGCCTTCAAAAGTTAACATTATTTCATATTTCTGTCCTTGTTACTGTTAGCAAAACTTCTACCATGTGTAGAAAAAAATATGACAAGTCAGTCAGGAAAATCAGCCTCTCTGAATGCTTAGTTTGATTGTTTCAGTGAGTCTCCATCAAGACCAAGAAGCAACCATTTGACTTAAGTAGGGAATGCTCTCTCTCTGCCTTGGAAAGTAACATGAAGGAAAGGGGGGAAAGGCAGAATGAATAATAACTGAGACTTTTTGGAGTGGAAATAATATTTTGATGAAGTATGCAGTGACTGTGAAATAGGACAGCATGACTCGATGAAGATGCCTTGTTCCTGGCCCAGAGCTCACTGATGTTGGTCTGGTTTCTGTCCTGGAGACAGTTCTGCATTTTTTTAAACTGTTTCTTAATCTATAGTATCCACCTCTGGTTGAGGACAAGGATTTTAAAAGCCTTCTCAGAAAGAGTAGGGATGAAGAGTTTTGCTACTCTGGCTGGCTTTTCCACTCAGAGAAGCAGTTCAATATTAAGGATGTGATGGAGATTTTACTAAGGGACTATTGTGCACACATGCTGCAACCTACCAGCTTACAACTAATCACATGGTATTTTGCTTTCAGATAGGAAGGATAAAAACACATCCTACAAATCCAATTCCAGTTCTATATCTGATCCTCAGAATGGCTAATCCTCACTGTAAACTGCAAACTCTGTCCAGAATGTTATCCTGTTCTGATCTACTTTTGGTAATTGGGTTTTCTTCCAAGAATTTAAATAGCCTTTGGGGTTTTTTTTAATCTAGTAAAATTCCTAAATAAATAATGTGGAAATATTTTCAAAGCACGTGTATCCTCAGTTTACAGTCCTACTTCCTTTTTT